TTTTTTTTTTTTTTTTTTTTCGGTAAGGTTAAGGTTGGAGAGTTGAAAGGTGAAACGTGAAATGATTGTTATACTTTTAATTTTTGTAGAATTAAAATTTGTGCCATTCAAATATAATCACTCTAGAGGATCTAGATCATAGATTGTGGCCTAACACTTCAAAATAAAAAGATTATTTGGTACAACTTGTCTGAGGTGCGTATAGCTTTTTTCATTTTTTATTTTTGATGTATCTGTCAAATTGTTTAGAGCATCTCCAACGCTTCGCCTAATTTTTCATCAAATTTGAGTAAAAAAATAACCATTTTCTCAATTTGATACAAAATGCTCCAATGGTTGATTTTCATCAAATCTGCACCAGGGACAACCAGTTGGTCGACCGGTAAGGCAAATTTTTTTTTTTTTTTTTTTGAATTTTTTGAACTTACCTATTTGAACTGTTTGAACCTTTTAGTGGTCGACCGGTAAGGCAAAAATTATTTTTTTTTTGAATTGTTTGAACCTACCCATTGGAACTGTTTGAACCTTTTAGTGGTCGACCGGCTGGTCAACCAGCCGGGCAACCAGCTGGTTGACCGGTTCCTCTCTTCCAACGGTCACAGACAGTAATTTGCTGAAATCTGTATCCTGTTCTCGGTTTGATGATTTTTTTGTTCAATTCTCTATTTGATACCAGTTTGGTGAAACTGTTGGAGCTTCAAAAAGTGCATTTTTTACCAAATTTCAAATTTGATATCAGGTTTGGTAAATTGTTAGAGATGGTCTTAGTATAGTTTTTACTTATTAGACAGAAATAATTGAAATAAATTGGACAAAAAAAAACTAATTTTCGAAAGGGTTGCGAGGTACTTTTGGTTTCTATTTTTGGATTATCAACAGTTAAGGATTATTTGGGAAGTGCTATATTAGCATACTTTTTGGGGTCTTTTAGGAAGAAAATAAAAAGGTTGCTTTTAGTTTTTTACCCATTTTAAATCACATCACATCTCACATTTTTTACTCACAAAAATACAAAATAGACTAAAAAAAGACAAAAAGTCAACTTTTTACTAACTTTTCAAAAGACTTCTTTATCTTTTTAGGTCATACTATCTCTCTATTTTTCTGCACATATATTCATAAAAAATAAAAAAATATCCTCTTTAACATTTTTCAAACAATCCTTTAACTTAGAATAAGCTGTAAAAAGCACCATAGATTCCACTCAGATAAAAATAAATAAATAAAATAAAATAAAAAATTCTATGCCAATTGTAAAGGCAAACAGGGAGTGTTTAACGTACCTTAATAGACATATTGGGTGGTGGAGGCTTTGTAACAATGTAGAAAACAACCAAAGCAATCGCCAAACTCACCAAAAACCTCCAAATAATCTGTAAAGTAATCCAAACCAATGAAGAAGATGTACGAAAAGACAAGTACCTCCACCACCACCAACACCCTTTTTTCCCAAAATACTCCTCATCATCCTCCTCCTCTTCATCATCATCATCATCACCATCATGATCACAATCAACCCCATGATGAACACTAATCAGACGGTTCTCACCATTCTCAGTCCCAGTAGTCCCATGACTCTGAAGATCGTAGGCGATCTTTTTCTCATGCAAGAAGGAATTGTTGGATCCGCGAGAGGAGGAGTAGCGAGAGAGCGCGAATCGAGAGAGGTCTTGGGGTGGGTGAGTGGTGAGAGGGTTGGTGTTGGATTCGGATCGAAGAGGAGAGTGAAACGCGGATTCGTTGGAGGTTCGGAGATCGGCACTGTTTGAATGAGAGACCGTTGATGGGCTCTGTACGAAATAGAGTGCGTATGGGTAAGTGCGAAACAATGCTTCCTCTTCTGCGTCCATACGATGGTTATTAGCCATTTTGAGAGAGAGAGAGAGAGAGAGAGGGTTTCGTTTTAATTATTTGAATTGTTTATTTTATAAAATTCATAATATATATTATTTATGAAAAAATTTAGATCGATTTGATAATCTTAACTTTTTTTATTGTATTATATTTATTTTTAAAAAATAGATAATCTATTTTAAATATATATTTGTCTTTTATTTTTTCAAAAATAAATGTAATAAAATGAATAATTTATGATTGTTTGATCGACTAATTTTTTTCATATATAATATACATTGTAGGTCTTAGAAAATGAACTGTTTAAATCATCAAAATGAGACTCGTGTTGGGTCTTACGGATCCCTCAAGTTCTGTTATGTTAAAATCCCAATATAAGATAAGCTCAATAAAAAATAAAAATAAAAACTAAAAAAAATACAATCCGTCTTCCATTTTTGACGAAATTAGAACAGATAGCGACTAGACATTAAAATAAATGGATTATTTTGAGAAGTTGATTAAAAGTTGGCTTCTAGTTTTTTTATACTTTTTTTTTTTAAATGTGTAAAAAATCAGAAAGATAATATGACCCAAAATATATTAAAAGCTAATTTGGCTTTAATCAAGTTCCCAAATTAGGCCAATATAAATATTAATAAGAAAGAAAAAAAAATTATGATATTTTTTTACATTTGTACGATTAATGAATTATTAATGAAAAATATTTAATCATTTTATGGAATTAAAATATTTAAAAAAATAATATAATTATATTAAAAATATCAGACTTATTATAATTTATATTCGGAGTGTAAAAGAGATGCTACTTTTGTTTCTGCAATGGAGCCTTAGTTATAAGCCAATTGGAGCCAGCCACCCAATCAGGGCCGGCCTGCGGTGAGGCCATTAAAGTGGTCGCCTCGGGTTTTTAATTTTTAACAAAATTTAGAGTTTTTAATTAGGAAAGTGTATTATGTTATGTTATTTCATAATTACTTTAATATCATTACAAGAAAATACATTTTTGCCGATTATTTTTGGCTACCAAAAATAATTTAGTCGCCAAAAGTTACGGAATTGGCTACCAAAAATAATATTAGTCGGCAAAAATCAACTTTTTAGCTACTAATTTTTTTTAGTAGGGGAATGTTGATTATTGGCGACTAAAAAAAATTTGGTAGCTAAAAATATTACAATTGGCGACTAAAAATATTTTTAGTAGCTAAACATATCACAATTGGCGACTACAGAAATTTTAGTAGCCGTAGAGGTACCTTTTGCTACTAAATTGTTTGGTAGCTGAATGAAAATAAAAAATTTAATTTTTAATCTTTGGCGACCAAAATTGTATGGAATTTGTATTATATATAGAATTGGATGTTGAAGATTAATTTTTTGGATGCTTGGAACTGAAATGTGTGCACGTTGTTGAATGCTTTAATGGTTGATAATATATTTTAGTGTTGATGGATTATATTGTTTATACAAGGTACAGGTTGTACTAATAATGAAGACAGGTTGTTTACAAGTTTTTTTTTAAAAAAAAAAAAACCAAAACAAAAAATTATTTGGCCACCAAATGTTTTGGTAGCCAAATAGGTAATCAAAAGTTTTGGCTACTAATAATTTAGTAGCAAAAACATAACCCAAAACGTTTTTGCGACCAAATAATTAATAGCTAAAACAATTGAGAATGAGAGAAAGAAACTATTGGCCACTAAATTTTTTAGTCACGGGAAAAAAATGGTATCATTTGGCGACTAAAATGTTTGGTGGCAAAAAGTGAAGAAGTGAATGTTAAGAGGCTTTTGGCTACGAAACTTTTAGTGGGCAAAAGTAACAACGACAAAAATTACTTAGTCGCTAAAAATATGTATTCTATTGGTGACTAAAATGTTTAGTCTATAATAGTCATTCTCATTTTATGGTAGCACTTTTAGTGACTAACACTTTAGTCACCGAATGCACCTTTTGCCGACTAAATAATGTTTCGTCGCCAAATTAGTACTTTCGGTGACCAATTATTTAGTAGTTAAAAGTGACACTTTTCCCGACCAAACCAACTTAGTAGCCAAAAAGCCTCATTCGGCGACTAAAGGTTTTAGTGACAGAAACATAACATTTGCCGACTAAATTAAATTTAGTAGCTAAATGTAGTCACTTTCGGCGACCAAACAAAGTTTAGTCGCCAATACTATCGCTGACAGGGTAAAGGCGACGAGCTTGGCGACAAAATATTTTAGTCACTAAATTGTTTCAGCGACCAAAAATTGGACTTTTGTCGACCAATATTTGGTAGCCAAAAGTGACATTTCTTGTAGTGTATTAGTTCAATTCATTTATTTTCATGTTGTTGTGTGGTGTTATTTTCATTCGTGTCCGATTGATATTCAATGTGAAAACTTTTACTTTTAGTTAAAAATAATTTAGCAAGTGTATGAAGAGATTAAAATTTTTCCCATAAGTTGAATTTTATAAAATTTATTTCTACTAAATGAAATTATTCATAGAATGTTTGATTTTAATTCAATTGCATTTTTCTGATTTAAAAAGTTGTACGTTATTACTATATATTTTTTTATTAGATTGACTCTAAAATAGGTAACAAAAAAATACATATCTTAAATGTAAAAAAGATATTAGCCTTAATTATTATTTTACATACTTTTTTATTCAGTTACATAGAGTTAAATAAAAAATTAAAAAAATATCATGGCATCTCTCAGTGAATATTAAAATATGTAACTAATAATTCATATTATTAAGTCGTGTCATACTTAGATTCATATTGAAAAATAGTCAACCCTAACTTACTAATTTTATATATTGCTTGAGTTGTGTTGAAAATTCTCATCCTTACCCCCATTTAATTTTAGTTCTTATAGCATTGGTAAGCTAAAAAATAAAGATTCGATTCAACTAATTAAAGTTCAACTATTATATATATATATATATATATATTTGTTATCTAAATTTTGTTAAATTGTAATACAATAGAAATAAATTTTTATCCTTTTTGTTTTATTCAAATAATTTTTTTTTTTTTAAGGTAATGATACATTAAGGGACCAATTTAAAAAATTCTCCTTAGGCCCCTAACTCAGGGTCGGCTTGCACCCAATAAATATACATATATATACACAAACATGTATAAATTACACTTTTTACATTCTAGTTTTCACTTGAATTTTATTTATTTTATTACTGTAACTAGAGGGTGAAAAACTAATTAAAGAGAAATTCGATAGTAAATGTTAGACCATAAAAAATGTAGAGTATAATTAGGATAGTTGTCTGAATTGGAGACCTTTTATCCAAAAATCACACGCATGTCAATTTTTAGTCTATTGAGTCATAAGTACAAGTTTAATTTGTTTATGTAATCGAGTTGACTTGAGTTCTGTTTAAGTTTCTCCTATATTGATAAGACGAGCTCAATTTCAAAATTATAAGCTCAATTCAAGTTCAACTAATTCTTAGCAATTGTGCTCGAATATCAAAAAACTCAAACCGACTTGTTTGTGCCCTACTTATTCTAAAAGAATTACTCCTTTCATTTTTAGATATTTTTTATAAGCAATATAAATATGTATATAAACCTTATGACAAAACATTTTTAGGTGAATTATTAATAAATTGCATGAAATGTTTTCTCTATATCAAGTTATTGTTGATTATTTTTATTAATAAATTACATAAAAAAGTTTTCTCCGTATCAGGATTGTGCTCATTCATAAACATAACATATCCCATCTTTGTTGATCAAAAAAGTTTTATTTTTGTTGACAAAAAAAAAAAAAAAAATTCCATCTTCCAGAAAATAAAAACATCCTTTCAATACTCACGTAATCTAAGAACATCCTGTTGCCAGTTTGAACTCTTTTAAGTTGGTGATCTCCATTTTATCCCATTTTGTAGTCGAATTTAGTGATTTAAACCGTTCATTTTTTAAGATTTATTGAATAGAATATTCATGAAAATAATAAGCTGATCAGACATCAATAGTTATATATTTCAATCACATTTATATTACAAAAAACAAATAGTTATTCTTAAAATTATATTTTTGTCAATTTTTTTTTTTCCAAAACAAATGTAATTTAAAAATATAACTATTCATATTTGACCACCTTAATTTTTATATAAATATTCTACTTAACGAGTCTTAAGAATTGAATGGTTCGGATGGCCCCAAAATGAGCCAATCAAGTCTAAATTCTCTCTCAAGTTGGTCAAGTTGATCATCAAACTTGAGAAAAAATTCAAACCCTTAACTAAAAACATCTTTGTTGAAAGTTTTTGGTTGTTTTGATTTAGTTTTTTTTGAAAAAATTCCAAAAACTACATAGGATGAAAAAAGAAAAAGAAAAAGAACAATTATTTTCATACGATTTTTTTTTGGGACAAAGATAATTTAAGAAAATTCAAAAACATCTTTGTTGAAAGTTTTTAGTGTTTGTTTTTGTGAAAACTAACTAGTAATTTTTGAAAAATTTTCAAAAATAAATTATGAAAACTCAATCAAACAGATTCTCTATCTTCCAAATAGGATGGGGGTGGAAATGTATTTTTTGTGTAATTATCAGATGTGTCAAAAATTTCACGTTGGCTATGTGTCCAACCAATAATAAGGGACTAAATGAATATACGATCCCAATAATAAGCAGATAGTGGACAAAAAATAACATTTTTGACTGAGTACATGAACACATAATATTCTTAATTTACTAGATAATTTATGATACTTTTATAGGAAAAAAGAGCCATGACAAGTAAAACGGAAGCCGAGTATCAGAAAGAAGCCGTCCGAGAATTACGGGAGAGACTATAGGGTGGTGCGGTGCCTAGATACTATATGTTTATGTTTTGCTTTACACCGAATTGTAATTATCTCTGCTTTTCATGGATGGCCGCTAATGGAATCATAGCAAAGTAAGCACGCTTTACCCAGTTCCCTTTTCCCTTCCCTTTTAATTCTCCTCCTATTCTTTTAATCTATGTAATAATGAATTAGTCTCTTAGAAAATGTGTCTATTATATTGAAACAGACACTAGTGTGCT